CAGACTACTCCCGGTGAGCGCCCTTTCCCTCTTTCCCGACCTCGCTTCTCCGTGCGTTCGCGGCTGCTTTTCCCTAGCTGTCTGGCAGGCTGCCCACGAATTTCTTAGACAGAGATTAGTAGATTTCCCGGCCCCGGCCGGGGGAAGATAAGGATAGTCTCCTTCGGCGAGGTGGTAGCTTGTCTTCTTTTTCTTTTCTTTTTGCTGACAACGTGGTAGCTTGTCCTTGTACATGTTTGGTAGTTCGGTGGTTGCTGGTACTCCCTCCGTTGTTCACAAATAGTGTAAGATGTTTTGGTCTTTTGGATATTTCAATATGAACTACGTACCGACTGAAATGAGTGAACAAACGCACTAAAACGTGTCTATATACATCCGGTTCAGGAAATAGTTAGAATATCTTATACTCCCTCCGTCCCAAAATAAGTGTCTTGACCCCGTCGCAAAATAAGTGTCTTGACCTTAGTACAACTTTGTACTAAGACACTTATTTTTGGGACGGAGGTAGTATTTGTCGATGGAGGGAGTATGTCGAGTTGAGCTGATCTGTAATCCGAGTATCGGACTAATTATTATGTACTCCCTCCGTCTGGAATTACTTGTTTCACATAAATGGATGTATCTAGACATATCTTTAGTTATTGATATATCCATTTTTATCCATTTTTGTGACAAGTAATTCGGAATGGAGGGAGTAGGTGTTTACGTTTTTTTTGTTCCTCTAAAGCGACAAGTGACCACGGTCACTACCATTATCCCATTGATCGCGAGTTTGAGGCTTTGAGCAGTGGTTCATGGTCTATGGCAGCACTACTTTATATGTTTTAGATGATGTTGATCATTTTTTATTAGGATTGAAAAAAGCAAATCTGTTTAGTTTGACTAACTGATGCTTAACGCCACGTGCTGCTGCTGTTGGGATCTCCTGAAGCTGCTACATTTTAAAATAAATGAGTAAAATGCTGTCACTCTTTTCTCTGTTCCTAATTGTTTGGCAATTCTCAATTTCCAGGTTGGAATTAGGTCCCGCTGAGTGCCCCCAGCCATGAGTTGCGGGAGGTATACCATACCAGCTAGTCTCTTATTTTTCTGTATCTCAACTGTAGTTCTGCTACAACATTATGAGTTCATAACATTTTGACATGTGATGCTGATGGCAGATCTGAAAACACTACCAGAAAATGTAGGACGCGTTCAACACCTGGTGAAACGATGTATCTCCATACTGCCGATGCTAAAAAGATCACCCACTACCAATCTAATCTGCCAACAACAATGGATCGCGATATCGGTGCCTACCCTGTGAAGCACCACTTTCCATCTCCTATAGTTTCTTGGATAGAAGACCTTTCTAGCTTTGGCGATGCTCCTTTTAGCCATGATACTGAATACGTGGATGATCAATCAACACCTTCATTCGGGCAGTCTTCTGCATCTAACAATTTGCATGACATGCAAATAGTACGTTTTGTTTTCATTTCTCATCCCCTTCACTGAGTGTGTGCGCTTCCTAGGAGCATGTGAAGACAGTCAAGTTTTAGATAAGATCGCTGATGTATGTGTGTCTTGCAGTCAGTGAGATTGACAGACGAATTCATGGAACTTGCAAAGGAGAATACAAGCAATAATCTAGAGACCTGTGGAATTCTTGGTGCTTCATTTGTAAGTGCAGTTGGGAGAAGAATTAGATAGATTTACCAATGTGACCACTGATAGTCTTGCTATATTCACATTTGCATCTTCATTTTTTACATTTATTTGCAGAGGGATGGAACTTACTATGTGACAACATTGATCATTCCAAAGCAAGAAGGAACTGCTCACTCAGTATGTCAGTAACTGTATGGTTTGGGGAAAAAAGACATTATTTTGTTTAATTTGTCATTTTACCTTTTAACATATCATTTGTCATCTTACTTTAATGTGTCTTGCTTCCATTTATCTATATGAATCTGCCTGTTTCCAAATGCAGTGTCAAGCTTCTAACGAGGAGGAGATACACGCCGTATTATCAGAGCAGTCACTTTACCCTGCAGGGTGGATACATGTAGATATCTGAACATTTCCATACTTCATCGAATTCAGTTTTCTGTTGGTTTAATATTGTAAATGAAATAAATACACATGGCTAGCCTACATCATATGGTCTAAGAACATTAGGTATGATGAGATAAAACTGTATCAGTGTATCCAGTGTTTAGTGCCAAGTTAGGGTGTGTAATCTGAATTTCCTGTCTTCTGATTTGAAACTAGCATTATTTTTTGAATTTTTTTATCACAGGAGGTAAGAACATAAATATTTAAGATATATATTCATAATGGTTACCATTGAATATCCACTGTTACTGTGAATAAAAGCGTGAATATAGCCTCCACCACTTAATAATATACTGCAATTGTGGCCATTGCTGCAGCCAATATAAAACTATTGTGTTCGTCAATTCTAATACATTTGAAAGAAGATTGACATAAAGCACAATTAATACCAATATTTTTCTTATAGAAAACACACTGAACTTAGTAGCATGGAACCCATCTTTTTATACCAAAACTTGTTACTTGAGCATATGCTTTCTTAGTGTGCTTAGATGCAGTAACTACTGTAATTTACTAACAGTTAGTTGACAATTGACATTTTGCTTTGTTTTTTCCAGACTCACCCTTCACAAACATGCTTTCTATCGTCGATCGATTTGCACACTCAATTCTCTTATCAGGTATCTAAATAAGTTTTGTTGATGTTTATGAATTAAGGATATTGTTTCTTTTTATGAAAATCCTCCAGTCTCATATACCATGGACATCCTCCATGAGAAATTCAGCTGGAAATTATATTTGCCGAATCCTTCAACCACTAGAGTAGCTAACAAATATGATTTTAATCTGTATGCAACAACGCACATTTGAAACTTTTGAGTTATTGGTATGACAGTGCCATATCTGATGATCGAACCACTTAAGGGGCTTGTATGCTGCTGGGCATAAAATGTATAAAATAATAAGTTCGCTCTCAAAATGCTGAATAGAAACAATCACAAGTTCCACCAATATTAACTCCGAAAGGCACCATGTCATCTGCA